CTATAATTTGTGCCATTTGTGAACTATATAACAATTTCACCCAGTGATAAAATTTTCCCCAGTCCATATCTTCCAGAATTTTGAACAGAAAAGTCCAGTTCAAATTATCAAATGCTTTCTCCACATCCAGGAACATCAGTGCAGCTTATTTTTCATCATGCTGCTCCAGATATTCTAATATATTAATAATATCTGTAATGTTATCTTTTAGTTGCCTTTTAGGCAAAAAGCCACATTCACCTTCATGGATAACGCCTTGCAAGGCATTTTTCATCCTTTCAGCTAAAATAATTGTAAATATTTTATCATCAATATTCAGTAAAGATATTGGTTGGTAATTTTTTGGTAAGGTCGGGTCTTGCCCTTCTTTAGGAATTAGTGCTGTGTTTGCACATGTCCAACTGTCTGGTATCCTTCCATTATCTAGAATAGAATTTATCTTTTTTTTTTCAATTAATTTTCATCGAGATTTTTTACAGAGTAAAAACAATACAAATTTAAAGAAAAAGAAAAGTGATAAGTAAATAAGTAAGAAAAAGATGGGAAAAGGAAGAAAAAGAAAAAAGAGAGAGATAAAGAAGTGGCTTCCAATCTTCTTTACAGCAGTTATAGATGCGTTTATATTTTATCCTCTCTATATATAGTTACATCATGGCTCCCTTCTTTCTATATTCTACAGTTTCTAATCATCAAACCCATACACTGCAAGTTCATTTCTTTTCTGTTTTCAGCAAAAATCCCATAAAGGGTTTCCATTTGTTCTACTGACAAATGTAGTTACTTTTTTCCCCCTAATAAAGCAAGTCAATTTTGCCATCTCTGCAAGTTCTATCATCTTCACCAACCATTCCTCCATTGTGGGTAATAGAATTCATAATTTTCTGAAGGGGTTCTAAAAGTTCATCTTCCAAATGTTTATAGTAGGAGGCTGGCAGTCCACCTGGGCCAGGAGCTTTCCCTATTTTCATCTTTTTTATAGCCTCACAGATTTCACTTATTATTACAGGTCCATTCACCATCTGTTTTTGTTCACACCTTATCTTTGGTTAAAAAAAAAATCTTTAAGTATTCATCCACTTTTGCTGGAGAGATTTCTTTTCCTTTATGTAATTTTGTATAGTACTGATGGAACGGTCTTTGCATACTTGCATTGTCTGTTACTGTAGTTTTCCCATTTTGAATTTTAATCATTTTCTTCTCACTTTCCTTTCTCATTTTATATGCCAACCACTTCCCTGGCTTATTTGCTGTCTCAAAATTCTTTTGTTTTGCAAAATTCATTTTTATTTCCACTTCTCTTATCATTAACACAGAAAGCTGGTGTTGTAAAAGTTTAATTTGCTGTGAGACATTTTTCCTTCCTGGAGATCTCCTTACTTCCTCCTCTTTCATCTTTATCTCCATTAAAATCTTTCACTTCTTCTCTTGTCTTTGTCTTTTCAATTTGGTGTTTTGCTGTATAAATTGCACTCTCATAAAGGCTGTACTGGTATCCCATTTGTTGTTGTTTAGTCGTTAAGTCGTGTCCGACTCTTCGTGACCCCATGAACCATATTGCGCCAGGCCTTCCTGTCCTTCACTGCCTCCCTGAGTTTGCTCAGTTTCATGCTCATTGCTTCAGTGATGCTATCTAACCATCTCATCCTCTGCCGTCCTCTTCTCCTTTTGCCTTCAATCTTTCCCAGCATCAGGGTCTTCTCCAAAGAGATCTCTCTTCGCATTAGGTGACCATTAAAACAATGCAAGGCAAATTACCAAAAATATTTTTCAGAATGGGTAAATTTGAACTTATAGGTACATGGATTAAAACAATGCAAGGCAAATTACCAAAAATATTTTTCAGAATGGGTAAATTTGAACTTATAGGTACATGGATTAAAACAATGCAAGGCAAATTACCAAAAATATTTTTCAGAATGGGTAAATTTGAACTTATAGGTACATGGATTAAAACAATGCAAGGCAAATTACCAAAAATATTTTTCAGAATGGGTAAATTTGAACTTATAGGTACATGGGGCTTGCCATAGCTTTCCTCCCAAGGAGCAAGCGTCTTTTAATTTCATGGCTGCAGTCTCCATCTGCGGTGATCTTGGAGCCCAAATAAATGAAGTCTGTTACTGCTTCCATTTCTACCCCTTCTTCTATCCCATACTGGCCTTATATCAGTGCCTTTATTGTTTTCAAAAAATTCTTTCAATTTCTTTTACTGTCCTCCAATATTTATTCCTTTTGTAGCAAAGTTTCATTTAGCCTCCATCTATAAGTTCTAACTCTCCTCTTATATGGTAAAGTCACTGGGTTATGGTCTGAAAATGTCTTTGGCAATATCTCCACTTTGTTAACACATGTAACAAGATTTTTAGACAAAACATATTTATTCTTGAGAAAGATCTGTGTCTTTCAGGGAGGTAAGTATATTCTTTAGAGTCACCATTTTTATGTCTCCATGTACCTATAAGTTCAAATTTACCCATTCTGAAAAATATTTTTGGTAATTTGCCTTGCATTGTTTTAATTCCTTTCACAGAGGTTCTATCTTTTTGTGGGCAAACTACTCCATTCCAATCTCTCAATAAACACCGATTTTCATAGGGCAAGTCTATCAGTTTTTCCATAAGTCCTTTAAATGTTGTGACTTTGTTATCGTTTGGGGCATATATTCCCGGTATCATAATCTTGGTATCATTCAAATTAATTTCAACTCCCACATATCTACCGTAATCATAAATATCAATATCAGTTTTGGTCATACTTCTGGGTTTATATACAAAACAACTCCATTCTTCTAACTTGTCCCTGCTGAGATAAATTCTTGTCCCAAATTTGTATAAATCAAATATGTTTATCCTTTTTTCTTATATGTGCTTCCTATAAACAAATCAATCTTGTTTTAACTTTTTCAAATAGTGAAATACTTTTTTTTTTGTAGAGCATTTGCCCCATTTATATTCCATGTTAGGCATTTAAAATCCAAATTTATGTTGTGATCTTAGAAAAGTCTATACGTGTAGCGCCCAATGTAGTAGTCTCTTCCTCAGTCTCTTGCTGTATTTGCTCTATAGCTCCTTTCTTTTGACCCACTTGCGTCTCTCCAATTCTTCTTTAAACCTTTCAAGAAAATCTCTTGGCTTTTGGATTGAGTTAAGTCAAAACCTCTGCTCCTTAAAAATTAAAATCACTTCTTCCCATTTGTCCCAATGGAATGGTATCTTTTTCTGTTTAAGTTTGTCAGTCAGGAAGGTATATTCTTTTCTCTCACATAGTATTCTGATAAGTATTTCTTTGACAGAAGTACATCTGAATTATTAATCTTTAGCTTGGTATTAAAATGTTATAGAACTTGGTCTCTTGTCTTCTTCCTGACAAAGTGCACAAGTATATTTCTTGATACATTTTTTAGCTTTGCATATCTTGTATTAATTCTGTACAACTTGCCTACTTCTGCATCCATATCTTCATCCCACTCCAAAAATTTTTGTTATGGATTCAGTGACCCTCTCCCTAGTATCTTCACAAATCTCAAGCAGAATTCCAGTAGTGCCACATTATCTAGATTTTTTTTCATCTCTGTTTATTATTTATGTCTTATTTTCTAAAATTGCTATTTTTTCCTTAATTTGTTAACCTCTCCACTCATTTGTATTACAGACTCTTCAATTTTTTTATTCATCTTTTCTTCCATATTTGCGAACCTCTCTTAACAGATTCAGTCATTGATGCTGTCACATTCTTCCCCATTTCTTCAAACATCCTTTGTAAAATCTCTGGCATAATCCTCTGTTCTCTTATTTGCTTTGTTAATGATCCTCTCCTCCCACCTGTGATTTTCACTGCTTTCTTGGTAGTAGCCATTTCTCTCTTTTAATTTATAATCCAGAAAGGAAAAGTAAAAAGTAAAAGAGAGGCTCCCCCCCCTTGTCTGTGTCCTTAACCCTTTAGTCCCATTCAGCACCCCGTAGTTCTATGGTCACATGATTTTTCACAATTTTCCCTTATCTGTTTGTTTAACAAAGCCAGCCAATCAACCCTCTTAGGAAATTTAAAGAGTCCTTATTCCCATGGAGGTATGTATTATTTATTTAATTAATTCAAAAGTACTTTAAAATAAACAATATTCCAAATTTGGCTGTCCCCTTAATCTGTTTTAAACTTTCATAGTTCAAACTCTTGGCAAGCTTTTTGCTTTCAGTTGTTTTTAAATCCTTATCATTGTTTCTTCACTTTTTACTTTAATCTTGCCCTGGGTCGAAGGAACACTTACCAGGTGGTTTAGTTACTCTGTTTCTTGAAAGATCTCTGTAACTTTTAAAATTTTTATAATCCTAACGTGCAGTAGAAAGTGGAGTCTTGAGCAAATCCAGTGTCCTTAAAGCTCTGCTGGCCTGGGCTCACTGCCCAGCCGCCAATCTCCACCTCAGCAGCATCTCTGATGTTCAGAAATGTGTGTGTTTGTCATTTTCTCCACCCGGAAGTCTCAAAGCAAAAAAATGATTTCATTTTGTTTATGTTTAACTGCAATTAAATGTAGTTACTTCCTGTTTCATTCACTTAAAGAATTACAATGTGATAATAACTTTTGGAGATCTTGGGGCTGCATCTAACCCAAAGTTTTCAAGAACTGTGGGTTGTGTGCCTCTCACAGGCAAAATAGATGCCTATTTCCCTTATCAGATATCAGATTTGGGAAGAGCTTTCCCCAAGGAATACTCCAATGGAATATAGATAAATCTAGTTCTTTCTGATTCCTAACATGTAAAGTCAGACTCTAACTCCAATCTGCTATCAGTTTTGACCTGACATTAGATTAATCCCTGCTGGTTGGAAAGGTTGCAGCCTTCATCAGGGCAGCCATCAAGTGAGAATCCAGGAAGAAATATTACACTAGCCCTTGGTTTCCATTCTAGTTACTCAGAGGTTGAGGTAATGAGAGGCAACGCTTGCTGATAATTTATTACTCATAATGTTCAAACATGTCATTGTTTCCTGTCTGTTACTAGTGGAAGCGGGAGCAAGAATTTGACTTGCAGTTATTGGAAAGAGCAGTATGTACAGAACAAAAAATGGGCAATAATTGGTTAAAAATCGAGCCTGTTGCAGTAACAGAGACAGATCTAGAGCCTGAAGATTATAACTTGGATATTAGCAAAGAGGTAAGGCTAGTTGTTGGTATTTTATATAAAGTCTTATATTCACTATTTTCCAAGCTTTACATACTAATTTTCTCTCCGTTTGTGTTCTTTAATGTTAATCAACACCTTTCAACAAGGTTACACTTTAAGCAAAGTAGGAGAGTTTCCTGAGGCATGTATAGGGCCCTTTTCTGTTTGGTATGTGTCTAGTGGCATAAAAGCTATGTTAGGAAAGTGACTAAAAAGTTTGAATCTACAGAGGAGGAATGCATGGTTTTAGAGACAATTGGCCCATGCATCTTGTAGAGTTAATAGGATTTCACAGCTTTCATCAGGACACAAACAGCATCATGCCCTTTGGGTGTCATTCCCTTGTGCAGAAAAGGATGTGGATTATATCATGGCACCATGACACTGCTTGCATCATTCTGACCCTTCTTGCCTCCCCTGTGGACACCACTGTTTATTACAATATTACAGCACTGATAAAATAGAGCAAATAGATTAAAAGTAAACACAAAAAGGCTATCAATCACAGCTTTTACCAAATGGTGATGTATAAAAGGTTGCACTGTTTTCTCCAGTAATGGGAAGAAACAGGCCCAAGTACTGTAGAACTCAACCAAAAGCAAGTTGCTCTCTGTTCATCAAGGTTCTTTGCAGGCTCCAGTGTTGTCTGTCAAAGGGGTAGCACCGCTCCTGAGGAAGCAGGTCTGCCACTTGCAGATCTTCCTAGATTCAGGGCTACTGCAGCAAGGGTAGCTGGAGGCTGTGGCCAACACTCCTTTGCCCAACTGGCTGGTGTGCCAGTTGCGGCTTTACCTGGAGGAGGAGAATCTCTCAGTGGTAATACTTGCTCTTTTTGTTTCCCAGATGGACAGCAGCAATGTGCTCTTCAGGGGGCTATCTTTAAAGACCACCTGGTACAAAATGCAGGGCCCACTTGCTAACTGGGATTAAATGCTAAGAGCACATTCTACATGTGCTTCAGACCCTGCACTGGTTGCCAGTAGGCTTCTGGGTATAATTTAAAATACTATAAAGCTGTGTATGACTTCATATCATGGTACATTCAGGATTGCACCCTCCAACCAGAATCGGCCTGTCCGATTTGAAAATCCCAGGAAAAGTTGCTTGTGATTCCCCACTTTCATGAAGTCAGGGGAGCTGAAGTCAAGAAGCATTTCTCCATTGTGGAACAACTTTACTGCAGACATTAGACTTGCCTCAACACAAACAACCTTTTGGAAAGGAGTTTTCTGGAGGCTTTTTAAATCTTATTATGAGATGATACCATCATATAATTTTTTGAGTCACTCAGGTTTAAGATCGAATCCTGATTGTTTTGATTATTATTTGTTTCTTGTTCCATGATTGTTTTACGCTCCATTTTTGCATACTGCTGAGAGTCTTAGAAATGGAAGGAAGGAAATCACAGGCAGAATATAATCAGATTTTTTAGGGTTCCCCCTCCCCCAACAATATATTTCGAAACCTACAGAGCCATCTTGTGGCCTAAAAGAAGAATATTTTATTTCACTGAAAGATCGAAGAATAGCAAAAGAACAAAAAATACCTTTCTGAATAAATGGCCAGATTAAGACAAATTAACAAAAAATCAAATAAAATAAAATGACTTCATTAATTCTAGATATGTTCGTTTGGGTTTGGGTTTTGTTCTCCAAATTAAGGTTGCATTATATCTGAGGTTTAATCTCTGAAGATTTCTTGAAAAGGTCTCTTGATAACAGGAAGTATGGGAAATTGTTTCTTAAATTGAATTCTCAAAGTCTATTCCTTATACAGTAATTACACCTAAGCATTTCCCTCAGGTTTTTCCCACTAGTATTGTTTCTGCATTCCTTAAAAAAAATGCATATCTGTGATAACATGAAGGCACAAGGGAAATCTGAATTTAGATATTATATACATTTTTCCTTTTAGTGGATTTTAGCTAGAACCCTATATTTAGTACCAATACTTCACTTTTTGATAAATGTTATTCTGAAGAAACAAACAAACAATGTGGTATACTAATGACGTTACGCAGGTACACCTACTTCTGCATTTCCACATACACACGCCTTATATCTACTTCAGAGAGTTTTCCATTCTTCTAGAGCAGATATGAAGTATGAGCAGAGAAGAAATACCTGTTTCTCAAGAACCATCCTGTTGGTTGACAGGCACTCTTATATAACACGTTTCATAGGAACCTTGCAGTGAATGTACGGAAATATTAAAATGTTTGTTTCGCCCTTCTTTTTTCTCCCTTTTGTGTATTTGAATGTACAAATGTAATGTTTTGTATGCAGTATAGTAAATATCTATAATTATTTAAACTCCCCCCCCCCCATGCCCAGTTGTCAAAACCGGAAAAGGTTGCAATTCCAGAACGTTACGTTGAGATGGAGCCTGAAGACCCGCTCACTCCTGAAGAATTAGCAGCAAGACACCGTAAGGCAGAAAAAATAAGGCATATTCTTACCAAATCAAGGTAAGGCTCTGGGCATAATTCTCTTTGTAACATTAGGAATTATGAAAAGCCATATTATGTGCATATAAACAGCTCTATGCTTCAAGCCATCTTGTAGGAAGAGGCTACTAGAACAGTAAGTCTTGCTTGTTTATGTATGTTTTAAACATAGACCTGTAAAATACTGGGTCCCTGTCCACATTTTGCAGCTGGATGTTTCATCCAGGGAACCTTTTCTGGCTCTAGTCCAAATGGCTAACTGCTTCTTAGGGGCGTTCCGTTGCTGCAGATACCTGCTGGAGAGAGCATTGGGCTGTGACTTACCTGGGGTAGCCTTCCCAGCAAGGCCCTTTAGAAGCCATTCTACTTTTTACGGCACTTAAAATTTGTCTTAAGCTCCTCCGTGTTTCAGCTTTTTGCTGTGGTAATATTTTTTTGCTGCTGATGGTATGTATGTAGCTAGCTTACACATTTGTTGATTTTGATATTTTTCTGTTTGCTTATCTGTATTTTTAATACTCAGAGGGTATTCGTAATTGGTAATACACTAATTATGTAAATGCATTTTAAAAACGGAATTATTATACGTCCCCAGATTCCTAATTGCAGGATAATCCTGAAGTCTTTTTCTTTCCATGATGAGCATGTACTGGAAAGTGGTGGCGACAAAGAGTACCTCATGTGCCTAAGTGCAGCAGTATTTATTTTCTTCTTTTCTTTTCATGTTTACCCTAGTATGCACAACCTGCAGCCCCCAAGTCAGGACAAGTACAACTCTTCTAATTTAGATTCACAACTACATGAGCAAGAACGCATAATTACCATCTCATACGCACTGGCTTCTGAAGCCTCTCAGCGGAGCAAAGAGGTGGCAGGTATATTGCTCTTTTTATAAAGCGATGGCTGTGACAATGCATTGTCTTAGTTACACTGCTACCTAATGTGCGTTTATAGCTTTCTTCTGGGCTACTGTAGGCGCCAGGGCCAATCCTAAGACATGACTTTTTATGTTATGTTTAGACGTCCTAACTGGATGGCTTCCATTGTGGACCTGAACCGCTGGATTTGAATTTCAATGAATGTGTTGAACTAATCAGTAGTTAGTGCTGAGCATAGTTTTCTCCTATCTGAGTAGGAAAGATGATACTATGCCACACAAAATTTTCTGTACACCAAGTCTGCCATTGCTACATCATATATTAAGATTAAATGAACATTTTTAAAGTCCAAAAATTTAGAAAGATCTGCAGATGTCAATATGGTAGAGATTCCAATTTGAACAAAATATTAGGTAGAAGTTTGAAGACGGAATATTAGTCAGCAGTTTATTCCTCTTACTGCTCTGTGAACTGCTGTGCTTAGTGGATTGTCTTCATACTGAAGGCAATCCTTGGCTGAGTAGAGGGGTGCTTTACTTACCTCTGCCTTCAGTGGGGCTATTTCCAAAAGAATCAACAATGCATCGGAAGACAGTTACTTGAGTTCTCTTTGCCCTGAGACCTTTGTTTTATCATTATATCTTGCACAACATCTCATCTATTTTTCTGTTCACACATTCAGGCTTTTCAGTCAGAATGCTGAAAAACTCATAAAAATAAAACATTGAAATTTGACTGATTGCACTGTTCCAAGATTTAGAACTGGTCATTGGCTTGGACTTGGCAAATTATTTTTAAAAATTTAGTCACTTCAATCCTCCTAGAGCTTGATATGTTTAGCTTAAGTTTTTCATCTTGGAAACTAATGGTATATACAGAAATAGCAGGTGAAGTTGTCATTGCTAAATGGTGCTTCCTTTGTACTTTAATTTTTCAAAATGTTACTAATACAGTACAATATGTTCATTGTATATAGCAGGGCCAGTATTATCGATAGCCTGCCCAGTTGATTTTCTATTTTATTAATTGATTTCAATTGCAGTTTCAATTCTGTTGTGAGTTACAATACAAAATCACAAGTTGTCAACATTTATTTTATGATGTCATTAAATACTCTCTGATTCCTTTGATTTTTTTTAATATTATATTAAAAATTGGTTGTTGCAAAAGCCTTCTCAAAAAGTAAATCAGCACTTCAAATTAATATCCATGGCAGATTCTGGTTCATTGCTTCCTTTTTGAAGCAGGCACAACAAATAAAATAAAAATGGCTTGGTAGTTTTTCGTATTGTAGGACTATTCTGTACTATTTTCTTAGTACAGAAAGTACATGTCGATTTGTACTACAACTGGCCCTGCTATCTTGTAGTCAAGCCCATTAAGCTGTATATAGATATCTGTGTGTGAGAGAGAAAAACACGAAGTAGAATTGTGGTGCCTAATTCCTTTGTATGATCCCTTCTAGCTCCTCAATTGACTTACCCATCTAAAGCACCCTCACCTTCTGTACCTCAGCCACTCCCCTTAAGCAATGGATTTCACTACACATTTGTCTAAACACCTTGAAAGTAAGAACTAACTGCTCTTGCTGCCTGTTTTGCCATTAATGATGTGCTTTGCTATTGTTGGAGCTCTCTGTAAATGTAATGACTGCATGCAAACTTTAGTGACCTAAAGATTCTTTACTCCTTCAATTAAGAAAAATAAAAACTCTTACAAGGTACCTTTAAACTTACAGAAATTGTCAAGAACTGCTTTGAGATTGCAGGTGGTTTTGACTTCCCTATCATGATGTTATTTTAAGGTGAAATGCGTAGAGGCGGTTTTGCGGTAGCAGTACCCGCCTACTGAAGATTACTCCATAAAAATGGGAATTGCCGCAAGCCATCTCTCATGGAAACTGTAAAAACCTAAAATATTAAATAACATTTAACTAAATATTACATATGTCAATATGTAAAATAAATGTTAAATAATACAATAGATATTATACTTGATAGCAGAAATAAGAGCCTTCATTTCCCTCTCGTAAGTCATAAACTGAAGAATAGTTATGGCAATCATACTCACAGAAACAAATCCTGCCACACTTGGGGGGGGGGGGGTTGCCCTGACAGTGAACCAAGTTTGTACATAGTTTCATAAGGTTATTCTGTGTTTAAAATATATTGTCTTTTTTTTAAAAGAAAATGATGCTTATTCCCAAGTCAGTGTGTGTTTTGCATTAGAATATCGGATGCATATTGTGTTTTATTCATGATAATGCTATGATATAATTGAGTGAACTGCACATGCTTGGGAGATTTCTTTTTTGATTAAGATTGTTTTGTTTCTTGGGTTTTCCGGGGGAGCGTCTGTAACATATCAGGTATGTAAAAAAGTTGAAGAGGGGAAGCAGTGAACTTTACAACCAAGTAACAGTATGGTGATCTAATCTGCTTGCCCCATCCTAAGCCTCTTCTATTCACTGTCCAAAATATGCACTACTAGTTATTAATAGCTATTGAAAAATGCACACTTTTTAGTAAAGTTGTTTCAATGATATCTAACTGCATTCTGTTTTTCTTTATGCTAGCCAAAGCAGTAACTGAACAGTGATTCCTGGAATGTGCCAGTAACAATCATCTAATGAACAGATGCAACCAGGATGAAGGAAGAGGCAACCCCATGTTAGCCTTCTATCATAATTGTTCTCATTTGAACATGTTTTAGAAATAAATACAGAGAATGTTTGTACAAAAAAAAAAGAACAACTTTGTATAAGAAAAGAAACCAGATAAATTAACAGAACTTTTAATTTACTATATAAAATGTGTGCAGTGGCCATAATTCACCACGTGGTCAGGCGTATTCAGGTCCTGCTGATGTTCATCGATTTCACAGGTTTAGTGTGCTGGACTAAATGACAATGAATTTTTAGAAACAGAATATGTATTAGATTCGTTGTTAAACCCAAGGGCTGCATATGTTTAAAAGTTTGGGTGCATACTACGAAGATGCATATTATTTCCTTTGGATTTTTGTTTTTAGAAAGGAAATTTTTGAAAACCATTATACCATTACACAGATATACAGTGAGTTTTAATATATATTTTTAGAGTGGATAATGGCTTTGTAACCACTGTTTAACAATCAGATGCAATTTTATTGAAGCAATCAACATTTCAATCATTCTGGATCTCATACAAATACCAAACCCAGATATAAAACTTGCAAAAGATGGACCCATTTTAATAAATAAATTGTACAGCCTATTATAATTGTGAATAATTATAGACCTCTTTCCTGTGAATACGTGACGGCACTAATCTAACAACACTGTCCACCTGTTGTAAAAGCAAATCCATTTTTTTGTATCAACTTTGAGTCTGGGCAATGAAATATATAAGATGCAGTCCAGTCCCTATTCCAATGTAAATGCAACTGGTATGCAATTTCTCCTCTAGCACTTTTCCCGTTTGTTAGAGCGGGAGCCTAAGATACATATGTCTGGATCTGTTACTCAAGCTTCACACGTTCATCACATTTGTCACATGGAGGACATAAGTTACGCACAAAATCTCATTTTTTGGAAAAAAGGACTGCAGTGTCCATCTCTGTGCATGTTCAGAAGAAGGCTGTTCTTTATCGATCCCTCTAGGAAGTGCTCTATCTAAGGGTCCTGCATCCAAAGCGGGGTTAGATCACCCACTTTAAAATGAAATATTTAAAGTGACCAATACAACGATTGATTTATCATTTTACTCAAATATGTATTTTCTTTATAATCAGTGTTTGCAGCAGCAGCAAAAAATGATTTATTGTCCACTATTTATAATTTACTATGCTGATTGAGCTCTTGGCCCAGACTGCTAAAATTTGAAGTACAATATCTCTTCTTGGGCCCTGGGCAAAAAGCAGGCTAATAAAAGCAGCTAATGATTTTTTTTTTTAACTTGAAGGCTTGTGTGTGATATTCAAAATGTGGGCTGGCAGCTGTCTAGTATTTCGTTCATACTGACTGCAGAAGTGAGCCCCCACACACAAGCACTAAATTGTCAATGAATTGCAGCTTTCTATTACAGTATTCTATTATACTAAATATATATTTAAAAAATCCTAATCATTTGGAATATTTATGATTTAAGCCAAGGTGGGCTCACATTTGGGTTGGAGACAAGATTGGCCTCTGGAAGACTCTTTGGGCCTATGCTAAGTGATGGGGCAGTGACACACTCACCCTTTCCCCCATACATCTCACTCTTAAGGGGGGAAGGATTTAATCCTGCTCCTCAACTGTGATCTGATGTGCTCTATTCCTGCCAGTAATATCAGCAGGCAAAAAGCAGCTTTACTAAGATTACTCTAGGGACATGAAAAAGTTTTAAACTCTTTCTTTCCTCCATTGCATTGTGGGGAAGATCACAGAGGGAGATGAGATAAAAGCCTCCCACCACTTTGTCATGGTAGAGAAACAGCTGCCAAATGCTAGAATATTTCCTTGCTGTTAACAATGCAAATTGAGTCGATTTGGGAGTGAAAGTTAATTTCACCCCTATATAGCAATCCTGGTGATAATAGGCCATACAAGAATTATTTTCCCCAACTACCTGTGGTCCAACACAGTCTGCGCGATGAGGTATGGATTGAAATTAGCGAGTTGGTGCAAATATGGATATTCACCACAAAATTACATTGTAGTTTTCTAGCAGCCACAGGTTGCCTATGTGTAATAGATGTTGTTGCCTTAAAACGGACCTATAACATCATTATTTCTACATGTAAGCCTCTGTCCTTGGACTATCTTTATGAGGAAAACTCCACACCACACCTAGCTGTGCTGTAAATGATGCAGAGATCCATACTGGTAGCTACTATCAATGTGCAATTGTTCAAAGTTTTAAATGGGGCAAAAGTAAAATTGGCGGAGTCTTTTATATAAAAGATGAAACATGTAGTTTTTCAACTGGTTGATACATTGTTTAGTATAATGCAAAAACTGACAGATTAAGTAAATTCCTAAAATCTACTGTGAAAAACCACATTTGTGTATGGAGAACAGAATTTCGCAGGTAGCAAAGTCTGTGTTCATGATTTTCCATACATCCTTATGATCATAGCCATTAATGGTATCCTTGAGTTTTAATGAGTTGTATCAATGTAGAGGGAGTGTAATATGTGAGGAATTACTGTGCGGAAAAAAATACCTCAGGATATCACTTCTGTGCTGGCTTCTCACAATAAGATTTGCAGAGCTGCATGTTGTCTTTGATTTGATTTTGTTCTTTGACAGGAGCACACGACGCAGCAAACTAATTTTGAGAGTTTGAAGTACTTTAAAAACCTCTTTGTGTTGTTGCCTTGCGGCTGCCATTCAATGAAAACATGTTTCCAGGAAAGTATTCACACGAACAAAACACTTTCTCTATTACAGACCATACCTATTATGTATTTATTTGTAGAAACGAGTCCCTAATTATTTGTTTCAGACTGGAGTGGAATTATTAAAACAAATGTGGAAAATTCAAATATCCAATAATAAATGGGCAAAGTTAATACTTTGAGAGGCATATACAGTTCCATCTGAGGAAGATGCTATTAAATTTAAACCAGGTCTGAATGAAGTAGTATTATCTTGTTTTGACACTTGTAAAAGTCAGTGAGTGTCGTCCAGGTTTATTTTGGACAAAATTCACCTATCCCAAGTGATAGCATAGATAGTTTTTTTTACAGCAAAATTGTCTCTCAAAGAAAAATTCATAAGAATGATAGTGTTAACTTTTCCCTTAGACTTATTATTTGCTTGTGTTGACATATTAACACAAGCAAATACAAGCCTGCATTGCTAATTCTCTCCCTTAAGATTGGTCAAGAAATGTAATTGGACATACTTATTCAAGCAGCTGAAAAATTACACAAAGAGAAACGTTCGTTTCTATTTTCCTTTCCTTCATTCATTCAAGAGATACAATTTCTACCTGACTTAGGTCTCTTATCAAATGGTAACTATGTTGAAAATTATTTTTTAAACTTGTATTCTATTTTGACTATATTTAGAAACTATTCTTGATAAATGTATTTAGAAAATACAATATATTTTAATTGAATACTGCCAGTGTCAAGCACGTAACATTTTGTCAAAATGATACTCTTTTTTCCTTTATTAAAATGTTGACATATTTTGCAAGAAAAATTTAATTTAAATGAAATGTAACAATTTGAAGACAAAATATATGTACATATTAAACTATTAACATTATACTTGATCTGCCTTTGGACTTCCATCCTTTGTTCCTCAGAGTTTGGCGCCAAATGAGTTGCATTTGTTTTTTACTGTCAAAATATTGTCCCTGGTTCTCAGATCCACAATGAATTACATCACAGTTTTTCTCTGCCTTCCTTCCATAGGACTTTACTCCACATCTCCTATAGCCGTAACATAGAACTTATGTAAGTTGCTGAGTTTCTTGGCAAATATGTCCAGCTGACAACTGATTCCTTATATTATAGACATTGCACTTCTTAATGGCAGTGTAATGTGACAGTATATTAAAACTTCTGAGTACAGTAAATCTGTCTTGGATGTAGCTTTTGCTTAATTTGTGCAAACATCAATTTATCTCAAGGGTTTTGGGTTAGGAAAAGTTCCACAGGATTCAGAAATATACACCAATGTTGTAACTATTTTTCTTATTAATCCTAACTCTCATCCTCCCAGCTGTTAGGCTGGGCCAGAAGAACAGAGTGTATTAAATGTTTCTGGTAAATGTTCACTACCATCCCCAATCTGAGTTTCCCCATTTGCAGGTACGTTCAGTAGTGTTTTCCTAGCTGAATATAACCTGGGTTCAGATTAAGGTGCACTGTGAATGTGGTGCTGCTTATCCCCATTTATTAGCAACAATGAAGTATACTTTTACTTGATGTATACTGTTAACATTCCCTTTAGGACTGAAAACTAATTCATGACTTTAATCACTGTCAGGCCGTTTACGGCAAATGAGTTACCCCCTGTGTCTAACACAGCTTTCTGTCCTGAGAAAGATTTTTTAAAAGGGGTAATGAGCTATACTAGTTTCAGAATAAACAACAGCTCATAGAAATGGCTTCCTATATATGCATTAATGTTGCTACCCTTGAGAGAGAAGCGCAGCTTCAGAGATCAGGAAAACATGTTTTTGAGGCTTGAGTATCCTTGACTTCTGTCTTTCTGTCTTTTAAAGCATTTGCAAATGACACGTGTGCATGTGAATTACACAGTTATCAGAAGCCCAGAGAAGGCACAGAAAAATTGTGGTGTGCTTTTGCCTGATCAACCTTGCTATTGGTGAGGTGCATTCAAAAGACGCACTCTTTTACTGCCTACGAGCAAAAGTAACCTTTCTTCAGAGTGTTCAGTACAAAGGAAGAGCACAAAATGTACATACATCACAGTGACTGGAATTCTGTTTGAACAAGTGTATTGATTGGGTCTGACCTCTTTACACTTTTTTCTATTATTTGAAAAGGTGCATCTAAGTGTGGCTGAATTGAACCAACTGCAATGAACTTTCCATGAAAACTTCTTGAGATATTTCTTTTAGTTCAAAGCCTTGGAATTTTTAAAGGGCATTTTTAATACAGCCTGTTGAGGTATTCTGTGCCAGAACCACACTTTGAATGTTTTAAACTACAGGTAAGTCTGAGAAGGAGGAAAAATGAAGGCATTACAGCAGAATCATGGTCTGGGGAAGGGAAAGAAACCTTTTGACCTGTGGAATAAATAAAAATGTCACATAATGCTTTGAGAGAGAACTTTGTTCTACTCTGTGCTGCATTAGCATGGTGTTTCAGAACAATCATTTAGAAAGGTACCTGAGAAATATATCGCAATTCACGGCATTGTGATCTTCACTAAAGCATGCTTTACATGCTTTTTCCAGGACTTGTTTCAGCTATGGCAAGCAAAAGACTTCACATCTGCAGTAGAAAACTTTGTTTCGCATTTAAAGTAAACCATTATATTGCATCAAATCACATGAATGCATAGGTGGAGACACAGATCCTAACAGAAAACATGTTTAACTTCTGAAGTATCTAATATCTAATCATAAATTGAATTGGAAAAAAAATGAACTCTTGATTTCCAATTTTAATTGGCATTTCAATTAATGATGTCCTTAAATACCAGTACAGTACAGACAGTTTTGAGACAAAATTCTTGTATGGAGAAATGGGGATATGTGTGACTAGATTATTCTGTTGAAAGAAAACAACTCTCACCCTGCAAATCATATAGATTTAATCTGGAAGTAATCCTATTTGTTTACTCCCAGGAGAAAGAAAGGAAAATATGGGAATGTGTGGTAAACATTGCTAAAATATTGAAACCCAGTATCTGTAGAATTTATAAAAACTTCAAATTGCTGAAAACTTTGTTATACCCAGAAGATTATGGTTATGCAGAACAGTGGTCCTGTATATTAAATTTGGTGGTAAGAGTTTCTGGCCTGTATTTCAATATGTTTAAATGGAAGTACTACACTTTAAATGTTTGTCAAACCTTTGTTCTTTAACAATTGAAAGTGGTATACTTTAGAGAAAAACTATTACCTCAGCTTAATTCAGGTTAATTCTTTCAAATATATCCTTGTCATGATTGTGAAACACGTACCAACAACCTTGTGGAGAAGGATATGACTCCTCTTCGGATGCCACGTGCAAAGGCTTGAAGTTTCGGGGGAAAGTTTGATAAAAGGAGATTGCTTTCTTCAAACCAAACACATCTCCTGGCCTTTCTATCTTTGCTGAGCACTTGCTTGCTACTTTTCTCCCGATGCTTCATAAGGCCTCAAAGCAAATAATGATGCCAAGCTTTGATTAGGAAACCCAGCCGTGGCATTGATTCTCTTTGTCTCCATGTTATAGAGGCAGCTTCAGTGCATAATTTAATCTCTTCAGGGGACTGTAGTAAATCCACAAGAGATTTCCACCAGCAGCCCTCCTTGACATGAGAACTAACATGCACATGATCTTTGATGTGAATTCCCTAACCATAGCCTTAGAAGGACCTGTGGCCTTTGATGCTGGCCTAAAAATTGGGCTTTCTGAAATAAACTTTTGAGCCTCCTTTCTTAGCAACACCTGATGAGATCCTATTTTCTGGGGCCATAGAGATTTTTTTCCCCCCATAATGAAATGCAACAGAACATGTTTTCCCTTGACTGTTAGACTCCTTTTATTTTTCCTTTTTAATTGATTTTTCCTCTTATATTAAGAATGTTGAGAAGTCTAAGCATATTGTGGCATTTCATACCATAGCTGGACAGGACACACATGACTGCTCTACTATATAAAAGCACAGCCCTAACAACACATGAAAACAATTTTGACAGGAAAAAATCAGGCTCCTAATCTCCCTGATAATTGCTTTTCTGTTTTCACAATTATTTCTGTGAAGAGATCCCCCCTCCTCCCCTTCCTCCCTCCCTTCCCAGCCTTATGAATCCTTTTCTGAATCAGGACACTCCAAACAGGATTGCACAAAGAGAACATTTAAGAAATAGACCTTGACATATAGACATATCATATTGCTAAAATGACAGTTTGATCAGGTATCCCAGCTATTAGGTGGCTCCTAATAGTTTTCTAAAGTACCATTTAAAATTGAAAGCATAGCAGATTGTTTTTTTAAGGTTGGCCAGTTATGAATATGTACAGCAGCAGCATAATTTACGAAAAGTGTAAGTGTTCTTCAATTTTAAACCATGGTTTAGCAAGGAAAAAGCAACTGAACATGAACATTTGTTGAAACTTGCTTTAAAACTTGTAGACCCTTTGCACACTTCCCTGTAGGGAAGTTCCAAGATCTGGATGCCACCATATTAAAATGTCACCTCTTATGTTCTATTAAATTGCCCTTCCAGGAAGGCTGAGAATGTAAGTAGAGTCTTCTGAATTAGGTCAAGCCCCCTCCTAGCCCAGCATTTTGTTTCTCATCAGCCCAGATGTTTCTGGGATGCTGACAAGCAGATGATGGAAGGCTACACCTTTCCCATCATTGGTTCCTTGAAACTGGTATTTTGAGGCATGCTATCCTTGATTCAGAGATAAATTGGTGACTGAGTCTTTTCCTCCATTGATTTCTCCATTCCAAAGTCATTCAAGTTAGTGACCATCACCACATCTTGCTGTAATAAATTCCACAGGATACTTATATACTGTGTGAAGTATTCTCCTTCTTATTGGTTTCATTGGCTCATCCCTAGTGATTTCAGAGAGGGCCCATATTCTCCTTGCCATGCAGGGTTTTATATACCTCAATCATGTCCCCTCTTAACTTGCCTTTTTTTCTAAGTACTAAATGTTCTAGCTTGGTCTCATAAGGCAGGTGTTTGATTACTAAATATTTTGTTTTCCTTTTTTTACTTTTTGCAGCTCTAGTATATTTTTTTCAAATGTTGTGACCAGAACTGTACAGTATTCCAGAATTGAATGTATAAGGGCATTACTGCGTCAGTGAGTTTATTTTCAATCCCTTTCTTAATGATTCCTAGCATGACATTTGCCTTTTTTGTAGCTGCCAAGCACCTTCATTAAGCTATTCAGTATGACCCCAAAATAATAGTAAAGTTGATTTCCCCCAGTGTACATCATTTTACACCCACTTCAACTGAACTCCATTTTCTGTTTGGTTGACTGTTTGTCCATCTAAGAGATTCTTCTGGAGCTCTTCATAAATGAGTTTTCACCATCCTGAATAATTTGATATAATCCACAAATTTGCCTAGCTCCCTGCTTACCCCATATCAAGATCATTTAGGAACAACTTAAAAATTACGGATCCCAACTAGGATTCTTGGAGGACTCTACTTCATATTTCCCTCCATTGAGAAAGCTGAGTATTTATTACTATTCTGTTTATGGTTTTTAACCAGTTAACAAAACACTCTAGAAGATTGGTGGACAGGATTTACCCTTGCAGAATCCATACTGATTTTCTTTCAACATGGCTTGTTGCTCTATACATTTACTATCCTTTCTACAAATCCACTCAGAACAGACATTAAGATGGCCAGCCTGTAATTTTCTGGATTTTGCATAACTTCTGCTTTTAAAAATCAGTGTCATGCTGGCTACCTTCCAGTGTTTTTGCTAAGAGATCACAAAAATATTCAGTTAGATGTCACCAAGACCATTTGATTTTTAACTGTGTAGTTTCTCAAGATATGCTAGAATATCTTTTCATTACCTCAGTTCATTTAGTTGTTCCAATTGCCTCCCTGAGAAAGTCTATACCTATTCATGACATCCTTTTAAAAATCTTGTTGGTCATCATTTTATCCATTAATCCATTTCCCTCATTGGTCCTATTCTCTTAAGAGTATTTGCTGCAACATCCACATTCTTCTGAATCAGATGTTGCCTAACTCCTGTCAGCTTCTCCCTGGGATCAGTTTAAAAACTGCTTAGTCACATTTTTAAGGGTATGCATCAGCAGCCTGGTTCCATTTTGGTTTAAAAGGAGCCTGTTTCTCTTGTATATATTTGACTGTCTCAGAGAGTTCTCAGGTACCTAAAAAATCTAAACCCATTCTCCCAGCAATGCTGCCTCATCAATCCATTAAGGGTCCTGTACATGGAAGAGGTAACATTTCTAAGAATGCTAGCTTGACAGTCCTGGGCTTCAATTGCTACCTGGCACCCTCTGAAATTTGGCTTCCAGGACTGGTCAGCTACATTTCCTCATGTCACTGGTGCTAATGTGGACCATGAATGCTGCTTCTTCAACAGAACTGTTAGTACCTTATCTAGATGATGCATGAAGAATGCAACTTTTGCCCCAGGCAACCAATTCATAAGATTCAGATGCCTATCACAATTTTTTTTCTCAGCATTTCTAAAGATCACAACCAAAGGATCTCTGCCCCCCTGGAGGAATATCTGTGGTTCAAGATGATGTGGGCTCCTCACTCAAAGACTGGACCCTTTTCTGGGAACATTTGACTCATCCTCAATATGCCCTCCTTCCCCAGGACTTTCTACCTGAAAGCAGTTGTCATTCTGGATGTCAGACTAAACTTGAAGATCCTGCTTCTGCAATGTAGCTACCTTGATTTCAAGGAAACAGAGTCAGGAGCTCATTGCACCAAGCAGAAACTCACAACTTATGTCTAATAGTCAGATACTTGCAATAACTGGTAACCCTTGCTTCCCTTCTTTCATCATACCAATTATTAGTAATATTTGGTTTTCTTTCTCTTTAGGAATTGTTTACCTTAGAAGATAGCCCATACAGTATGAGTTGGAGCTCATACTTCCCTCAGACAGTACTAATTTTGCCCTGATGCTTAGTCTCTCGAAGTAGTTTACTCTTCCCCTTTTAACTTCCTGACAAAGCTGCACTTTTGTCAGAATTTTCTTGAAGCAACCTTGACTAGGAATGATAATCCCAAAGAACAAGCCTCTTAAAGAGCCAATTAATATGATTTCTTAGGAAGCATGTTCAAGTAATACAAGATTTCCAGCAAGTCCTCTAATTTCAAGTGAATTAATCAGTATGTAGCAAATAGAAGCAGCAAGGTTTGGGGCTCCCCCCCCACCCGCCGTTTTCCAATTTAAAGGGGAAATAGCTTTTCTCTTTTGTCAAGGAGTGGCATCCTAAACCTGTTGATTATGCTACAGCTAAGATTATTATCAAGCTAAGACTAGCTGTTATATCCTGTTCCTTTTTGACCTCCTTTTGCTGGCTCTGGTTATGGCTCCCCAATGCCTCTCCTCAACCTCATGTCGAGTGCTTGCTGCCACTGAGCAATAGATTCTCCCCAGTACTAGTCACGTGATCAGTGAGTTAACTGTAGCTGTAAACTCTTCTCAGATCATTGCTCAATTAGCAAGCCAACATACCCAATTCAGCCAGAGAAAGCACATAACCTCATCCAATTAGCCAGACAATTCTTATTCACAATTGATCAGATCTATGCTCTCACTTCCTCAAAAATGACCATGTTCCCATTTGTTCACTCCCTCTGACCACAAGCTTCCAACTACCTCCCCTCTATTCTTTCTAAAGAATAGCCTCCAAGTCAGATCTTAATACTTATCTAAGGTTTACTGCACCATCAAATTTTGAAAGCAAATCTTGGAAGGGCTGTGGGTGCTACAGAAGAGCACCCAAGATGGAAAGAATACCTACAGTAGCACAGAAGGTATGCATAAGCATTAAGTGAACAATAAATTAGGGATCCCTTTTGGGTCAGATACAAATTTGTCTACTACACAGTATCATGGTGTTAAACTAATTCAAGTGGTCATGTAGCATTAGGTATGGAGGGCAGGAATCCCATTTTATTTTATGCAAGACAGTGAATAGATATGATAGACTGGTGCTGAGAAGAACTACAGTAGTAAACAATATGAAATGTTATTGGTCGGGTCAGCTGGAACTATTATGCAAAAATATATTACTATGTAAATCATAGTAAAAGCAGTACAAATGCTATAGTGTGGCTTCTTCACCTTCTAGATATATAATAGCCCCACCACATTTGAAGGGCATTAGTTTTGAGGAAATTGCTGTAACCAAAGTAACACACACACACACACACACACACAGGTGCACACCCTAGAATGTATGCTTTCTTATGTAGTACTTAAAAACAACTTGGATAAACCATATTAAAGTCAATGGATTTTAATGAACCTACCAATTAATGAATTCTGAGAAAACTGGGGTAACTTACATTACAATACTTAAGTTTTTCTTTTCAAGACTGAAAAGAAAATCAACTTATTTTGTTAAGATTTTCTTTAATAAGATCATACCTGTTTAGAGTTTCTATATAGGCATAACGCAAACCACCCATAAATGCCTCTTTAAAGAGATTCCCCTCCTCATTAAAAGATTGCTCTGCCATTCCTTATCTAGACACTATCTAGGCATCTAACAGAAGGCTGGTGTTGCAAAATGTAATGCAGGACATATCCTAAAATGCTGTTTCTTTTGGATGACAAGCAGAACAAAGGAGCTCCAATTCTCACTTTTTAATAATTATACCATCCAAAACCCCAACACAAATCTGCCTTAAAAAATAAGACATCCATAAAGACATTAAATACCATTTCAGTAAGTCATTCAACAAGCTTAAGAAAGATTCAATAGCCTTCATGGAATATGGAGAGAGAATCTAAAAGCAGGTTGAGAACTAAGTACATACCCCACTTGTTTTTATTTTCATATTTTACAAAACAAAATGGGCAGTCATGCTGATAAAAATAGCTTCTTGGTGTGGTGCTGCGAATGCAAACACTCCTTTCTCTAAAAGGCCTTATTAAAACCACCAAGGGAAGGTCTGTGCTGTAAGCAGTCCAATACTTTGCACTGTAACCATAAGGCTTACTTTGCCTAAAGTTAGCTACATTCTGCAGCTATGTACCACTGGATTTAACAAACATCATTTTATAGCTGCTTTTTGCATCTTTCTTGGCTTGCGGGTCTTCAGCATTGCTGTGCTTTTCAGCAGATGGGGGCTCTTCCACAACTTCATCTTGCTCAGAGTCAGAATCACTTTCAGAGTCTTCTGAACTTTCTGGCTCCAGGGAATCTTGTGTCTCCTCTGGTGCTCCTTTATCCTCCTCCAACTAAAATAGAGATTCAGATTAAGAGAACAGTTTCTGAGAGCTTCTTTTGTTCTGTTTTTTGAACAGAGCCCTTTCTGACAAATTGTGGTTGTGCTCCAATATCAATACCTACGGAAACAGCAGCCTGGTTGATATATTGTGGATGGTAAATTGCAACTTAACCACAGTTTAATGAATCAGCCAGAGTTAGATGGGTTTTCACAATGTAAGTCATAAACCTGAGCGCCTATTGCTTGGGGAGCTATGTAGTGTGCTGGCACCCCTTTCTTACCCTGCTCAAAACAGGCCCCAGCTCTGCTTACTCTTGGAGTCTAGCCCTTGTTATGTCACACCAAGCTTGATGCAGCAGCCCTCAAGCCAAAAGAAGTTGTATCTCCTGCTATAAACCACGTTAAAACCAAACAAACCTCAGATTGGTTTAACCCAGTACAATAACCCAGCCAATAAGTGTATAAAATGCCCCTTGCAAAATAATGAGGCTTTTACATTTTCAGCAAAGGACCCTGTTGGCATATCCTACCTACCAGGTTTTTTAGCAGCCTTCTTCCTCAGAAATCAGTGTATTGTTCTTAATATCAAGTATTATCATCATGCTTTGATCTTTTGCCATATAACCTACAGGTGACCATTTAATGCGTATCAAACATCCAGATTAGCATTTGAGAATATTTTTTTAAATACCTAACATAAAGTATGTTTGTCAGCCCTATCAGATAGACCAGGAAACTAACTCTGCAGGAAGACCAGAACTCTATTGAGACAGAAGCTTGGAAGCCTGTGTTTTCTCTTCCTCCCTCCTATACTCCAGGGAATTGGGAGGGAGCCAATCTAAGTCTCTAATACTTCCCCATCCCTTAACACAGGCCTCTTCTGCACCTGTTGCTGTCCAAATGGCATCCAGATGGCTTCCCCAAGGTCTTCTCCATAGCTCCCCATGCATACTCGTGAGACTGCTTTGGACTGGTCTGATGATCACCAGCTCATACTCACTTCAGTACCACATATATTAAAATTGAAATCACCAGCTAGAGAAAAAAACAGTCTAACCAGATTGATTAACAGATGAAACTAACTTGGCCAGAGATAACCCTAACCTTAAACCTAACCCTGCCATCTGCTCTAAACTAGTCAAGGCCAACTTCTACTTCAGCATGTTTGGAGCCATTAAAATCAACACAGAATGGCTTTTGGTTAGTGTCAAGCTTTTACAAGTATCATGATAAAGTTGGTATTACCCAATAATAAAAACACCACAGGCGCAACCAGGGTATTTTAAGTATTTTGGAAGGGGTTTTTCCCCCCAAAATCTTTATCACCTCAAGAGTAAACTTGGGCATGAGTCCAAAAGCTTTCTTTTATGAGCCTGATCTGATCAGGTGGCTTTTAATTAATTACTATATCCCCATTCTCACTCTCCACATTACACTGTTATGAAACCACAATGGCATTTCATTTTGTATCTAATCAAGCCCATTGGATCTTCAAAAACAGCCACTATAGTAGTACAGAACTCTTCTATGCTACAGCAACAGAAGCCTAATATCACCATCTACAGGAAAAAAAAAAACAATGCTGGCTATGAAGGGTGATACCTACTAGCTATGTAATGCAATGAAGAATGAGCAGATCTGTACACTTACACTTGTGAAAGTTTGTCTTTTTTAACCACTAGCCAATATAAATGGTATTATATAATACATGTGCTACACAGTGTCTGGTCCCCAAAGAAAGACTTCTTGAGTCACTGCCTCAGTCAAAGGAAGATTACCTCACTGAAACCAAGTCCACAATGCCGCCGATTCCTTCCCGACATGGTGCTGTCCATACTTTGCTGAAACTGAGTCTCCAGCTCATCATTCATTTTCTTGTCTTCTTCCCCTATATGTTTACATATGCTGATTACCATACAGTCAACTAACAAATCCTGAATTCCAACAAAAAAGGAGGAACATAAGACTTTTTGGAATTGGAGCACTTCAAGTGAATCAAAATGTCTTGTGAGTAATTAATTATGGATTAAAAGTTTTGGACAGGATGATTGGGAAGGACTTTGTAAAAGTTATCCTCAGAAAAATTCTGCTTCCAGGGATGAAGGAAGATATGGATCCCTAATGAACATTATCAACAAAATCTTAAGTGAGCCATAAGAATCCACTCATGAATTTATCCAGCCCACAACAGAGCTTATTCCTTCATGGCACAGGGTCACCTCTCTCCCATTGTTTATGTCCACCCAATACAGAGCAGAGTGTATATGCTCCATGTTCTTTATATTAAATGTTACCATCTTGTGGGACCTAGGAAGCATGACTTCTCTGTTGTGGCCCTCACCCTCTGGAGCAGCATCCCCCCCGATATACGGATGGCCCCCACTCCCCTGGAGTTTCAAAAAGCCGTTAAACCCAGGCTTTGGTCCCAGGCCTGGGGTTAAATGTGTGTGTGTGTGGAGGGGGGGCGGTGTTGTGCTATGATTAATGGCTGTTTTTAGTGCAGGCTGTTTTGTTTTGTCTATGTTTTTAATTGTTTTAACTTAGTGGGCAGCTATAATACATTGAATGAAATAATAATAAATAATAATATTTGAGGGCAAAACTAAGATGTCACCCATAAGCAGAACCTTCTGATATCCTTTTGCACAAACAGAACCATGACACTTCAGGGTACAATAAGCCAGAGACTATTTTGGTTTTACACTGCTACATTACACATGGGGCAATATGGTTCTTCAGAAGAATGCTGCAGAGCCAGCAGCAGTTAGTGGCCAAAAAAGTGGCTTTGAGCATGAGAAATATCAAATCCTATACAAAACCTGTGGGTATGTCAATCACAAAGGGAGACCTCCCTAGAAAACACCTATGTTTAATTCAAGTAAGTGTTGAATTAACATTTACTCCCCTTCAACACTTTGGTTAAACTGACCTGTTCTAAAATGAGAAGTTGATCGATGGTCTCCAATAACAAGGCGTCCAGTGTGTTCTTTCTAGAAGAAAACAGAAATTATTATTCCAACACAATAGTTCTATTTTTCTATTGTAGACTGATTTATTCTGGCACAGGTTTTCAAGGTTGCAGACCATTTTCCCCAAAGCAGTATTTATCAATATCACTATGTTATTATATTTCAAATAAGCATCAGGCAACTCTAGGAAGACTTTCATATGCCACTGACCAACCAAATCTTACTCAGCTTTAGATTTCTGTGACCACTGATATCTGCTTCGAGATATGGTGCTGGTTACCAGCTTGGCAGGCTTCAAAAAAGTGTTGGACCAATGCACGGAAGTCATGGGGATCAGCAGCTATTAGCTTTGATGGCAGTGTGACTGCCTCTGAAGGTCATCTGCTGGGAGACAAGCGGGCTTTCTTGTGCACTTGGCTGACTGCTGGACTAGGTGGGCCAGAGGTCCAATCCAGCAGGGCACTGCTTATATTCCTATGTTCTCGTCTTGTACCACTTCTTATTTGGGAAATGACACAACACTTTGAATTAGTGATTAAAATAATACTGCCAAAGGAACAACAACAACAAGATTTAACACAGCTACCCAGATTCTGACCCACAGAAGCTTATGCCATAACTTTTTGCTTATGTCATACTTTTGAAAGTTTACTTAGTAGACTGTAATATTTTAAATTACATGGGCCACAAGGCCTTGCATTCTTGAATAAAATCAAGCTAATCTGCTTTGAAAGTTGTTCACTACAGATCCCTTGTATAATCATGACACTGCTAGGTTGAAAGTTAAAACCCTACCTTCCCAGCACCCATCAGCCTTAAGAACTTTTGTTTCCTTTCTTCATTACCCAAGTCGGCTGCCTCCCAGCTACCAGCTCCAAGCTGAAAAACAGAAGATAGTCTTTAGCCACACTAAAGGAAAAAATCAACCAGTTAGATTATACAGATAGTACAAATATTTATAGTACAACTTTCATTACAACTATAAACATGCAATAAGCTCCATATGGCTACACCATGCTTGCCTATCTACTTCACATGAATGCCAGTCAAAAAAAAATTCTGTCATGGGTTTCAAGGAAAATATTCTAATTCTGGATCATATACTTTTAGCAGGCATCATTAGATCTCAAACAGCAAAGCTAGTACTGCCTGGCAACAGCTTCCTGCTGACACCTTCCAATGACTAATACAGATTATAGTTCCAAACACAAAATATGGAAATAATGCAAGAGACATATAAATTCCCTTTTACAAAACTAGAGAAATATAAATATGATAAAATGCTTAGGAATACCTCTTCAAAAATGGGAGGGCTTAGCTACCTCTACATGAAGCAGAATTGCTAGCAAGCCCAGTATCCATATGACTAGTGCACATGAAAATACATCTAATAAAGCTAAAATAGAGAAAATTGTTGGGTTGATTGTTTTCTTGCAGATGTTTCTTTATCTGGATAGGTAATATCAGTGTGAGGGGGACTAATATTACTTAGCCAGATAATGAAACATCTGGAAGAAAACAACCAAGTTCAGAGAATACCAAGAACTCAGTAGTTCAACCCTGAGCTACAAATACTCTCTCCTATTGGAACAGAGAAAAAATAATCAATCCATCTTATTAAGGAAATTGTTAAATTAAAAAAATTATTTGCATCGGTCAAATAAACTGATAACTGGGACGGTACCTCTAAGCATCTCAAAGTCTGGAAAAGCAAGTTTCATGAGACTGAGGATTCTACAGAAATAATCTGTTGTAAATATTTATATTGCAACTCAGACTTTTCTATTGAAAATCTATTATCAACTCTCCACAATATGCAAGACTAACCTGTTCTGGCAGAGGGATTTGTATTTCCACTATGTCCCCCTTTTCTATTTTGGCTCTACCAACATATTGTTTTGAATACTATTTAATTACAAATATTTTTATCCTGCTTTTCAAAAGAGCGATGCTACGGGTGTGGGTGGCTTTCAGGTCACTCAACATTAGATTTTGTCCAGCCTCTCCCAACCCTTATCCACACTGCGGGCGGTGGCTGCTTGCATCCTTGCTCCTGAGAGGCTGATGCTCAGCGTTTTTCAATGCCTGGAGTTATCACTATGAATCATAAGCTGCCTTGAGAAGCCCAGAGTCCTGGAAGGGGGCCAAGGGGTCTCCATCCACAGGAGAAACCTCATTCTTCCCAGTGGAAGAAGCGGAGCTTCCCCAGGGCCTTCCTTCAGGCACCATGTGCAAGGAAAGGGCCACCTAGGCTATCCTCCTCGCATCCACTATTATCCAGATGCATTGGTTGACAATTGCCCCCACAGCATGGGAACTGTAGTCCTCCGCTTCTGCCCAGTATGGGAGTTGTAGGGGCGGGTTGAGTGAGATGTACTACTGAGCCACCACTATCGCACTCCTCAAGGGGAGAAAATCCTCCTACGTAAGAGGCGGGGCAGAAAGAAGAGATGGTGGGGAGAGGGTTCTCTTTTCTTCCACCGCCGGCCCAAGAGCCCCTCCCGTCCTGACCCCCTTCGAACTCCCCGCTCCGCAGCGCCCAACTTCTCTCTGCCCTTATTCACATCGGGGGAGGCCGCCCGCTTCACGCCGTGGCCGTGCTCGGGTTTGGACTCCCTGGTGGCGCTCATCTCGCCGCCGCCGCCGGCCGACCACGCTCCCTTGAACGGCCACTTTCTGGCCCTGCGCGCAGCCTCGCCTTCTCCTGCCGCCACTGCTGCTGCTTCCTTCTCGCCTTCTTGCAAGGTTTTGCACAGCGCAAGCGCGAGAGAAAAACATTCGGCTGCTCGGGTCACCGAGGGCTCTCGGGAGTTGTAGTTCTTCTCTCGCTAAGCGGTAGGGAAACGTTTGCGGTAGAATATCTCGGAAAGGCAGAGACTCCAACTCCCAGAAACCTCTGTGGCATGAAACTGGGCAGTCTTCCTTCTCCCTTCCTCGCGCTGCTCCCGTCACTTGTGGTTGGTTGAAAGAGAATTAGGCGGGGAGGAAATTTGAACAGCGATTGGTCCCTGAATGAAAATTTAGGGCTTTTTTCCCTTCCTTTTTTCAGGGGCTGAATTCTTTTTTTTTTCTGTCGCTCCTCGTTTCGAAGTGTGGTGAGAATTTACTCTGGATCACGGAGCTAGCCGCTAGCATTTGCTTGGAAAATATATAAAATAATGTGCCTTTCTTTTCTAGTCCCCTCTGAGAATTCAGAAGGGGAAAGGTCTTTCTCAAGATACAGCACGCAGCTGGATAGAATAATCAAAGAGTATGTCTTTCCCCCTATAGCTCAGATGCAGTAACTAGGAAACCTATCACTGTGGAAGATACATCCAAGCAATTAGATTGGTTCTACAAATTGGGGTGGAAGAGACTTTAAATTCAAATGCAATGATTACAGAATAATGCAAGAGTAAGGCTACAGCTATATTTAGAATTTAAAGGACTGCCTAAGACAGCATTTTGTTGGAGATGAAAGCACAAGGATAATGCTTCTTTAAAACATGTGTTTACAGTGTCCTGTACTTTCTAAGTTTGGGGAGAAAGTAGGGGACCATATAAAGGTGACTGTGCAACAAAAGCTAAACTTTTCAGAGGATAACATTCTCTTGAACTACATACTTAGTATGTGGAATTTGACAACGGGACAATATAAATGGATTCTCTGTGCCCTTACCATGGCCAAAAGACTGATATTGCAACACTGGAAAGATAAATGTATGGCCCGATTCTTCAATGGATTGAAGACCTGATTACACTTGTCACCTATGAGCAGATTGCCTAAAGATGTAGACTTTGTATGGACAAGTATAATGAAATATGGCTCATTTATACAAAATACAGTAGGTTAGGAAAAAGCACAATAGTTATATAATTGCATTATGCACGCACACACACATACTCGCATACTATTTGCATTAGATAAATATATATATAGAAGTGTAACTGTTTATTGTAATGACATACTGTACCTTATATTTTCTTTTTTTTTTCTGTTGTATTTTTTTCCATTTATTTGGAAGCAATTGCAATTGTATCTTTGTGTTTTGTTCTTTTTTGTTTTTCTCTTTCCTTGTTATTATAAAATAAAGGGGGAAATAAATAAATAAGTAAATAAATGCTACAGCTTCTGGACTGCAAAAATCCAGACAGCAACTACACTTAGACTTTCATGCATCTCTTTCCTGTCGCCCAGGGGTTGTCTGGGTTTTTGTTGCCCAGGTATTGCTGCCCAGCCCTGTAAAGGAGTTTGTGTAGTGTGGAATATACATGAATGGGGTGTGGATATTGTGAAGCATTATGTTGTGGTTCCAGTTGAACAGTTTCTCAGCATTTGTTAAAAGGTACAACAAAGGCAAAGTTGGGAAGGTGATATTGAACTGTAAAACAGTTTTGTTACCTGATTTGCTCCCCTTCCCTACACTGCACCTCCAGCTTGCCTCAATGTTTGACTAGGACAAAGCCATTAATATAATGATATTAAACACAATCCAAAGCTGACTTTTCCAATCTCATATTGTTCATACGTCTGCTGAGCTTCTCCATTTGAATGGCTGATTTAGCAGAAAGATATTTGCAGATTTCAAAAGGAAAGCAGTTGCTGGAGATCCAATCTAATTATGGGTTATCCGTACTTCTCCTCACTTGCCTTTACTGATGCTGTTGCCCTTGCTTGCCTCCGAAGGAGCATATTGTGGTCCATGGTCAATGTCTTCCAAATATGTGCAACCCCACCTTTTCAGCCCATGTGAGACCTCTTTGCGTGAACAAAGTAAGTTTCCCTCTTCTGGTGAGCCATTAACTTCTTGATCCAGATTGGATACCAGATACTGTACTTATTCTGAATAACAACAACAACAATAATAATTATATAGTTACATGTTATATCATGTCGTTAAGCCCTTCCCATACTTAGAAGGGATGAGCCATTAGTACCTGAATTTCTTATCTCTTTCTATTAACTTCACAATTAATCTCTTCTATCTCCCTGACACATATAGGTGTCTTTTGCAGTAGGATTTGAACCAAGTGATTTTTTAAATGGTATTGGGCTTTTGCAATTTTAAATAGTTTGACCTTCATATTATTTCAATTTAGGGCAAAACTTCATTCTCTGCATAGTGTTTTGCTACTGATAAACAATGTGAAATCAACCTGTTATTGAGAAGGATCATAGAATAATGTAAGAAACCTCTAGTTTGGATTTCTGTCTTCCAGAGTGTGTATGTATTTGGGAGGGGAAAGTGGGAGGGGAGGGGAAGGGAAGGGGGACTACAGTAACTGTGATGGACTGGGTGATGGGTGAGTGTTTCTCTGTGTGTGTGTCACTGGAAGAGTACTGAGATCTCAGGCCTGCAGTGGAATGCATACACCTCTTTGGGCTATAGCAATATCCACTTTACATCATTGGCAGGTCTTCTGACATCCTTGCCTAAAATCTGTTTAGCCTTTGGATCAAAATAGACTCCTATCCTCCATTTTTACCTTGCTATAAAGGTAGTGACATTAATTTAGTTATGTGGTTTCTTTTACATACTGTACCACAGGCTTCTGCTGAGTAGTGCTACAGTACAAATGCTAATATAAAAATAATTGTAGGGAAAAGAATATTATTTTGTATAAAATGAAACACATTCAGTATTGTTCTTATTATTCTGGGATGATTTTGGCAAAGTTGTTAGCAGGGCTGATCTGCCAGTCATCTGACTGAAATTCTGGGTTCTAGTAAAAGGCATATGTTCATTTACTTCCTTACCCCTCACATTTGAATACTACCTCATCAAATAAAATCCTCTGAGTGGCTTACAACAAATAAACCTAAAAACTAATGTAGACAAAAATATAAACTGGGAAAATGAGGAAAGCAGCGTAAAATGCAAGAGCAAAACTTATAACCCCTTTGATAAAAATCACAAATATTTAAAACAGAGAAGTCCAACATGCCGAAGTAAGTCAATATGCCAGCTTTTACAGTGTTGTTATGGAGAGTTTTGAAAACAAGACTGCCTAATTCCTTGGAAAGAAGTAGCACTGAGTAAAGTGGGACATAGTCTCTGGATGTGCTGTTGTGAACTTGGAACTCCTAAGTCTTAAAAATCTTGGCTGGCTGAGTGGGAACATTTATTGATCGATTTATAGTTTATATTTTTATACTGCCATAATTCCTGACAGCTCCTGGTGGAAATCAGAAAATCATACAAAGGAATATCAAATAAGTGTTGGAAGTATAAAAAGGAAGAGGGGACTTCTTTCTGTGAATGGTGGACTTGTGAACAAGCAAAGGAATTTTGGGTGCAAATTCATACAGTGATGCAAAAGATAGTGCGGATTAATATTATGATGAAACCAGAATTATTTTTATTGGGCTTTATGTATGCTGAACTAGAAAAGAAATATGGGAAACTAATATTTATTTATTTATTTATTTATTTAATTTATTTATTTTGTTGGATTTAAAGCTGACTTTTTCAA